AACTGCGTGGACTTTTGTTTTACACTACAAGACAAGGAGTTGATTAGGCAGATGTACAAACACTCGTGCTGTGGGCTCTGAATGTTCTCATTCCTCTTCCCAGAAGTAGACGCTTGTCACTAGACAGAAAGAAAGTCATTCTGTGAAACTGTCAGCAGACACAAACATGGCAGGACAGATACCAGACACCAACACATCAAAAACGTAGCCGTACCAAACTGTGTGGCAACACACTGATTGGTCTTCAGCTGTCTGACAGGCAGCCTTTGTTCTCACTGTTATCAGTTTATGAGCCAGAAATCCAACCCGAGGGGACTCTCCACTGTGGTAGTACTCGTTGTGAGAAATGAAACAAAGACCAGACCAAATGAAACATCGGTCGGGATTCTAGAAGACCAAGAGTGTCAGCAGATGATTCTGTCAGTGGTTTGGCAGCATCAGATCAAGAGGGTGTCATTTATAAATCTGTGCTTCATGGTTTTGCTAAAATATTTTTCAAAGTCAAACCTAATCCCATTTCTCACAGACCAGCAGGAACAGATTTGACCTTAATGTGCTAACCAGACTGCAGTCAGGAGTAAACATATACAATCAATGTTATATTTTATTATGACGTGTTTGAAATAAGCTGGACCAAGTAAGACAGACTGGTCCTTTTTAAAAACGTGGAACACTGAAAAACTATTTTTAATGATTATTTCTGATTATAATGGGTCACTCTGAATTTTTCATACAGGCTGTACATTGAAAGGGTCTCCTACACCTACCTCCTGCATTAGCTTCTGATAGAAAATCGACGGTGAAACTCTAGGATATGAAAAGCCTGACAGATCCATGTCACACTGTCACTTACCCATCTTGACTTGTGACAGGAAGGCTGTTAATGGTTTAGCCTCCAGGAAACAGCAGGGATTTTCTCTGCTAGTAGAAGCTAATGCGATAGGCTAAAAGACTGCTTTGATGCCCAAGCTTAAAGACTGCATTTATACCCCTCCAGGGGCGGCGTTAGGCCCGGCTACTTGGGCTGAAGCCCCGGATGTTACATGAAAAGTCCCGGATCTAAAACGTGGAAGTAACATGCAGTACCAAAGTCCAACAGAGAGGGAGCAGCTGGCAGTAGTTTGTATACAGCCTGCCTGAGCCTCCACCACTGAAGAAGAAGCCCTTCAGCAGCCGGCTTCTTCTACACTCTCTGCCTGAAACGCATGAGTGAGATGGACATAAGGACGTTTTTTAGACAAAAAGTACGGCGACAGAACCCCAGCTTTGATGAGACTGGTGTTGACTCAGGTTTGTGAGTCTTATTTGAAAATATTTGTTGTGCTGCTGGGTTGCCTAAAGTTAGCTTATCAGGTAAAGTTGTTGGAGAAAGAAAGGAAATATTTACTATCATCTCACACTAAACACTAACAGGAACAATACTCTGCCCTGAAAATGCTTAATATGTAGCTTCAGATTAAAAATTATGTGGTACAAGACAAATATATATGGTGTTGACTAGTGCGTGTCACGTGTGTGTGTGTGCGCTCGTGCGTGTGTGTGTTAAGCCCCGGATCTTCTTCAATCCTAAATCCACCCCTGTACCCCTCTTTGCAGCTCCAAGGAGGATCCAGTGACCGTTCGTTATTTGTCATAAGACCGATTTAATTTGAACAATAGTGTGGTAAGAAATGCACAATTTACAGTAGCAAAGCTTCACAATGAATGTAAATTCATAGCAGTTCATATAGATTAAAAACAGACCAATGCAAATATATTAAAGAGCAAGTCACCCCCTACCAGAGTCTAACTCCACTCCCACTTCATGTTTGAAAAATGCAACAAATGCTGTTGCCAGGCAGACCGAGAAGGCGGGGCTGCTAACAAATACACACACACAGGGTCACAACAGCATTGTGACATCATAATGTACCAGTTTACATCATAGCATACCTCTTAGCCAATAGCGGTGGCAGATTTAAATTCAAATACAGTGCAGAGTTTTTACCTGACAACGGCACAACACTGACAGTTTCAGGCAGAATATTTAAACTTTAACTAAGATGCACTGAAGTACCAAATTATTGACAACACGTGTCTGCAGCACGATTAGACACTCGCTTATTTAGTTTATCAGCAAAAAAAAGTTTATTTGGGGGTGGCTTGCTCTTTAACAATGCTGTTTACAAGCTAATGTTTCATGTTAGATTCATTTTAGTTCACAAGCCTTATCTGCGATCGATTAGTAGTGACTTAGGCTCCCACTAGAGGGAAAACGGCACGCTCGCTCCTCGTTGCATTACATGACTGCATGAGAGAAGCAGCTCACAAATCACTTTTGTGATTCTTTCTCCCCTGTTTCAGTTAATGTGATAAAAACATGATCTATATATACCCTGTACGCTTTCTAAGTCGGTTGGATAGATGAACCGTAGGTGTTTGTGAGTTGTAGATCATTTAATGTCAGTTTTGTGAGTAGTTAGACCGCATTCGGGTGTTTCAGCCGACCACAGTGATTGCTATTAGCTAACGGCACGTGCTAGCAATGCTACTGGTACCACTCGTGCTGAAGAACTTTATTCAGTAAATCCTGACTATTTTGTTTAAAAATTGGCTCCTTCCACTGTATGACATGAGACAATATGGAATATAAAACATGTATGTTATTTTTGGATTACATTAAACGACTGCATGAGAGAAGCAGCTCACAAATCACTGTCATGATTCTTTCTCCCCTGTTTCAGGGGTGTAACACTAACAGTTAGCATTAGTACCTCCACCACACAGCAGAACTCCTTCTTGGTTGCATTATTTGTGGGGATAAAACATCCACATGACAAGTCAGCGGTAGAGTCGTGTTGCTGTTATCCAGTCCGGGGCAAGATGTACCAAATATCAGGAAAAAGGACTCCAAAACCTGCCGTCTGAAGCTCAGCTGTGATGTGTCTCACTTTCAGTTCCTGGAAAGGGTGTACCGGTGTTTTTTCCCTCTAAGAACAACTAACAGTGCATTCATTCCTACTATAGACCATAATAAATGAGTGTTCTACACCTTTAAATAAAATAAACTGAACTTAACAGAGTCTTGTTTCAGCGATGACGCATCAGCTGCTGCAGGTGTCGATGGAAAATCACAGTCAGGAAACCAACAATAGGTTCACAGTAAGGCCAATTGCATTCCAGTCGTCCCCTTTAGATGGATTGTTTTGAAAAATCCTCTGCTCTTTATTTGTAGCTATTCACTTTGCTGCATTCCTGTAATTAACCAGCAGACCAGAGACAGTCCTGTCATGAGGCCTGCCACGTCTCTGCTTTGTGTCACGTTGCACTGAATCCAAGTATCTATAAACCTAAAGCTCCAAACTGCCTTCTTTAGTTTGCAGACTCGAAAGCATGCTGCACGATTTTTATAATTTTGTAAAGAAGAAATATTCCCTTCTGCAGTTCGCATTTTACTTGTGTCCATCCAGATCATCCAGGCTGGATCTGGATACTAATCAAGTAGACTGGATTAGATTTAATGATTTTTGATGAAAAGAAAAACAACTCAAGATTATTTAATTTGGTTAAAATGGGATTTTTTTCACTCGATCCAGATGTTTCACAAAAAAGAGAAGAAAAAGTTCAAAGGATCAAATCATCAATCCATAAAAGACTGCTGCTAAACTGTGATATTTATCTGTATGTTAAATTAAAAACACACATGATGTCTCACTTTGCCTTTGGGGGGCATAGAACCCTAAAATGGCACCGTACAAATACCATTACCATTTACTTCTCACACGATGAGACCGTTGCTATAACCAGAAGATTCTGTTGTGGAAAGTACATTTAACAGCTTCAACCTGAAGTTGGAAACAGCTCCCGTTTTCATTCTAAGCAGTTCGGGGATTTTCAGCAATCGCACAAATCTTTATTTCCATTGACAATGGGAGTAAAACAGTCATCACACAGGCCAGTTGCAGCTGTTCATCAGCGAAACGTCCGAGTCCATTCCAACTCGGGATTAACTGAAACTGAACATCTGCCTCTGACAAAAATACCCAAGAGCCTCATTCTCAGAGAAAGTTAACAGGCATCGGTGTAAACGATGACTTTATCGGGTCATTTAGATCAGCGACAAACAAAAATGCTGCTCAAGTGTCAAATCTATAAAATAATGTTTTATTCTAATCCATGAATTCTTTCTGTGTGGCAGATTGTTCAACTGTACGTGGTTTTTATAAAAGTGATCATTATATTATGCTGTTCCACTTCTCTTGGCCCGTGTGCGCCCACAAGAAGCAGAGACAGGCGATGACCATGGTCAGCCATTCTCTTCCAAAGACAACGAACACAAACTGGGTGGTCTCGGTCTAACGTCAATCCATCGTCCATGTTACACCGATTTTAGCTGGGTCTTTTGGTTACAGCACATTTAATACATTTGTGAATGAAAGAATGTGTTTTTCTTAAAGGTGTGGAACACTGAAAAAAGTTAATTTTTTATTATTTCTGATTATAACCAGTAATTCTGAGATTGTCATGCAGGCTGAACATGAAAATAGTCTCCTGCATTAGCTTCTGATAGAAAATAAAAGGTATAACTCTAAAAGCCTGACAGATCTATGTCACACTGTCTCAAAACGTTCATGGACTCACCCATCTTGATTCACGACGGGGAAGGCTGATGTTTTTTTAGCGTCCAGGAATCAGCAGAGAATGTCTCGGGTGGTGGAAGCTAACCATTAGCGTTAGCAACTCCACCACACAGCAGAACTCCCCCAGGATTGTGTCATTTGTGGAGATAAAACATCAACATTGCAATCTGAGGTGAGATGTCCAAATATCAGGAAATAAGACTCCAAATCCTGCCATGGTAAGCTCTCCTCCAATAAAGCATTCTGCTAGTTCCTGAAACAGGCGCAAATGAGTATTTTTTCCCTCTCGAGTACGACTTGCAAGACATTAATTCGTACTGGAGACTACTGCAAATGTATTGATTAAACAAGTGTCCCACATGTAAATGAGACAAGCAGTAATCAATATTATTATGCATTTGCATTTATTAAACATACTTTATTCTGAAGTTGTGCAAAAACAGTACTGAAAATATTATACAGATATAAAAATACAGATAACAAATAAAACACGTATTTGATATTTCACAAAAGAATTTTTAAAAATCAGTATTTACAGTTGCAATTATTTTATAAAACCCTTCAAATTTACTATAAAAAAATTCCCTTAAGACCTAAAAGCTTAGCGGAAAAAAAGGAGTGAGGTAGATTAAAAAAAGTTTAAAAACTTGAAGGCAAGCTTTTGAATTTGTTTGTTTATGGGGCTGAATCCTCCAGAAAACCAACATGAAGATAAACTTTAAGGTGTTTACTGTGCTTTTAGATTTTTTACTTCTGTGATATAAAGCAGGATTTGTAACGAAAAAAACAGGACTTTTCTGGATTATGACAGTAAAGTGTGCACGGAAACTCAATTCTTCCAAAGTCCGTAAATTACAGAACTGGCCCCTTCACAGCTAAAATTCTCTGAACCTTTATGTGTGCGACACATTCAATCGCCTTGGGTGGAAGGGGGAGGGGCAACATTGCATTCTTGTACATACAAAAAAAGATTAGGAAAACAACCAACTAAAAAAATTACAGCTCCTCTAGACATTAAAAATATTATTGCAACATCATTTCCATTCCAACATTCCCCTAAAATGACTTTAATTTTTACATTTTCTGTCCACCTCTCAGAACGAGTTTGTTCTTCACCTTGTTAATATGATTCAGACTCAGACGTGGCTTCACAGAAGAAGACAAAATATAGATTAAGACCCCAGAGAAAAACCCAAGTGGACGTGTTTACAGGCCATACTTCAGTTCTACTTTCCTACTGTCATTGTGGCTTCAATAAATTGTTTCATAAGAACATCTGTCATATTTAACAAAATAAAAGGGAGTCATGATTCTCTGCTACTGTGAATTTGTAGGCTGTAAGCTGAAGATGTTCAAAATCTGAACAGGGTAAGCAAAAACGTCTCTAATTTAGTACAACTATAATAATACACCGTAATCATGTAATTCATGACAAAATAACATATGCTCTGTACAAAATGATTAAATACAGTGTGATCAGTATACATTCTGGTGTATGAAAACCAACATATATTTTTTAAGTAAACATAAATGTAAACATATTTATTTCTTAATAAACACTTCCAGCACCACCTGTTTAATTTATAACACATGGAACAGTTCTCTTTTCATAGATTATAGATGTCTATTGAAAAAAAGGTGAAAATGAAACAAGTCATCAAAATACTGAACAATCAGATGATAGGAGAGTGTTTTTTATATATCTGGGACTACTTTTAATAACACATAAGCCAACATATTCAAAGAAAGACAAACTGCCACGCTGTTTTAACCTGTGAGTAGTTTCTTGTCACATCTTCACAGCAAAGAGTCGGAAGGAGCCTCCTTCTGTGTTGCTTTTGCTGAAAACACAGAGAAACCCACTTTAGAGTTATCCGCAAGTAAATAATAATAGAAAAAACTACCACAGTATTGTTTTCATTTATTTACTTAAAAAAGAGAGACTTAAATAGCTCACAGCTGTTCATCATTCAGGCAGCAGGTGCACGTGTTTATGTCTAAACGTCTATTTATGCTCATTCTTTTTTGTCATTTCTGCTATAATATTTCCCTTTTGTTTTACATGTAAAAATGTCATTTTGTTCACATATATTTACGCTAACAAGAAAATACCACATTCAAGGTAAATGCTGCCCTCGACTGAATCCCTTTACCACCTCTGGTACCTTTGGGGTTCCACAGGGTTCTAGAGTTGGACTTTTTTTTTTTTTACTTTAGGCAAAATTGTTATAAATTAAGATTAACGTTTCTTCTTTATGATGATGAAATGCTGCTTTATTAATGAATAAAATGTGATTACATTAAACCAGGTCTTGTCTAAGATAGATCATGGTGACTTGTAACAGTTTACTTTCAAATTTATACAAAATGAAGATAACTGGCATTAGGCAGCTTTATTTATTTATTTTTTAGTCAAAATAAACCCCAGAGAGTATTACACATATACACTTTCTCTGAAAGAGCACAGCCTTGTCAGAGAAAATCAAGACACAAATCTCTGAATCTAACAAAAATAAGGAGGTCAATAATTTGGCAGAAATCAGGGGAAACCCAAGGGGGAAATGTGCTGAGAGAGGTGAATGGACACATGTGGGGTGATTACTTATATTAATCAGCTGGTGCTGAAAATCAAGAGTAACAAATGGGCCCAGTTCCAATACTCACACTGCACACTACTCCCTTCTGTGGTGTGCACTTAAAGGAGGTGTGCAGTAAGGCTTTGAGTGCATGGTACACAAATGTGCCCATTGGAACAGGGAGCATTGCGTCATCGACCACAACTCATGCTGAGATGTCGGTCGCTATTTGTGCTACTTTAAAAAAAATCTTTAACAACTTTCAAACAAACAATTCTTTGGCAAAATTCTAATTAATAGCCATCCACATTAAATCTTAGTCTAAAATATTCAGAGCATGAATAAATATCATTAATCATTTCAAAATGAATGTCTTTCGTTTGAAAATGCTTATTTTCAAAAATGCATTTGAGCCATTGCTCCACCTTCTTCTCAAAATTCCCACACAGCAATGCATTGTGGGTAATAACCTTGACCGAAGTCTGCATCGATGTGGACTTGGGTGAAGTGCAGATCAAGGGTGTAAATGTGAGTGTAAATGGGGCGTGGTCACCTTCCACACTTGAGAATCAGGACACCCTACGCACCCGCACCCCTGGCCAGGAACGCGCAATTGGGATCCTAAGTCACAACCATCTTCTTCTGGCTCATGGGTCCCCGGAAGAATAAAAAAATGAATGCAAGTCAATGAGACTAAAAAAGCCATTTCCTATTTCCGCTTGTTATGTGCCATGGATTTCTCATATGATGTCCGTGAATTTTAAAGAAGCTTTTTGATACCAAGAACTTCCTTTTTTTTTTTTGAACAGGGGAAAACGCCATTTTAAGTTTTGTGTGAAAACAAGTCCAGGACGACAGCGCTTCACAAAAGTGACGTTATCGAACCAGACACAGAGAAAAACAGACGGAAAATGGCTGTAAGTTCAGCAAACTTCAAATCCTTCTTTCAGGAGGAAAGAACCACCATAAGTCTGGCCATGTGGTAAGAAGCAGCTATGCTAGGGGAGAGGAGATTCTGTGGTGACGTCATATATGCGACGTACCAACTTCCGATTTGTAGTCATGCTAACAGCAAACTTTTTCAAGCTGATAAATCTCAAAGTACGTGACTGGCGAAACACACATCGCACATTACTACTAATTTAAATTGCATTACAACATATGTGCGATCCAGGGCGTGAGACAAATCGGATTGGAAAATAGCGTTTTTAGCGCCGTTGACTTGCATCAATTTTTTCATTCTTCCGTGGACCCACGAGCCAACATTAAAGGAAGTAGACTTAGGCTCTCTATTGAAGGGTGCAAGAGTGGAAATATTGTGATTAGGCCATAATATCAAGAGTACTGCATAGAAAATAATACACAAAAAAAAACTCAGCTAAAGTACCTAAACTACCACAAAGGGGACCAGAAAAACAAACTAAATAGCTTATATAACACAAAGTAACTCATCTCACTGAAATCCTGCAGAACATGAACACAAATATAATCAGTGTCTAAAAGATAGAAAAGTGATCACAGCCCCTTTCTCTCCTGCCTAAATGCACTCAGCGACTTATTTAATCTAAAGACAATCAAAGCATTCAATATTTATGGAAAATGTTCGCAGAATGACTCATTGTTCAAGTATTTCTGAGGCTGTCTTTTCCAGTCACCACATGTGCTTGACCTAATGATTTTAATTAGTTCATTAGCAAGACAGACCTTGAAGCTGTGCCATGATCAATAACCACAACAGGTTAGCACCATTGGAGTCCTATCGCAGATAATTGTTCGTATAGGAAAGCTGACAAACTGACTGACAGCATTTCCACCCTGAGGTAAGAGGGTAGGGTGTGAGTGCACTCCAAACTGCCCACACGGCCATGATGTTGGCATGCAGCACCAACACTCCCTCAGCGACTCACTGACCTTCTGTCCCAATGCCCTGACTAAAGCCTTCAAAACTCTGCATCGAGTTTTGCGGAATCAGACTTGGGTTGTAATTTGCCATTCACCACTTTGCAAAGTCAATTGAATTGTGTGGGTAAAATAAGCAAAGATCCTGTGTGTGGCCAATCGACGCACCAAACCACATCATTACTCTTACACAAGGATATGCCAGTTAAACTGGCCACAATGGTTTCTGTGCCTCTGTTTAGTCCGCTGTAATCGGCCACAGACATGAGAGCGATATGTGAAACATAGTGTGCATGCAGGGCCCAATACACCCAGGATAACAGTAAATATAAATTAGGATTGTAAATACTGGATAAGACTGCCTTTCTCTGGAATAGTTTTCATTCCTGTCAAATTTACTTGGTTTTCCGAAGTTGAGTCACACTGGTCAAATTAAAAAAAACTTAAGAAGCACAAGACACTGAATGCAAATACAGTTTTTAATTAAACTATTTAAAAAAAAAGGTCAATACTAAATTTTGATATCTGATTAAATTTATACTTTGGCCAGAATACCACATTTGCAACTTCAGAGTGTCGGTCAGGTCTGTTGGACTTGGAAATAAATGGAGCGGACATAGCTGGCCCTACAGTCTGCTTCCAGTACTTCTGCATGTTTTAATTGATTAACACGGCTGATTTGTTTAATTTAGTGATGAATCACTCTTGCAGACACTAATGAAGGCTGGGGAGACATTTCAGCTGTTAGATTAAGGTGTTAAAAAGACTAACGCACAGCGAGTAGATAGGTTTTGCTTTTGGTTCTACTAAACGTACACTAGGGGGTGCTAATCACAACCCAAAACTGCCTAGTCTCCCTTAAAATAAATATTTGAGATTATTCTGTTTGCTACTTCATCTACCTCAAAAAAAGAAAAAAATCTTGCTTATCTTACAGCAACAATTATAGATTTCCCAATCTGAGCAATCAACAAATTGGGCCTTCGTGACTTGCTTTTGTTGCAACATTAGGCCTGTTTCCACTATCGAGACTTCCAGGTAATTTTACTGAACCTTTGCGGCATGCATGTGTCTCCATTTCACCGGGCCGGCTCAAAAGAATCACTTTCCGGGCCATTTCAGGGGCCAACTGAGTACCTGATCTGAGGTAGGTACTCAGAAATGACCCAGAAGAGTCACTGGGCGGGACTTGTGGATAACTCACACTGATTAGTTGTAGGAAATGACATCAGCAGGCATAGCCAAAAAATCAGTATTTGTAAAATTGGAAGAGTTATTGGTGGAATGGAAAGGAAAAAAAAAAATCCATGCATCCATCCATTTTCGACTACTTATCCGGAGTCGGGTCGTGGGGACATTAGCCTAAGCAGGGAGGCCCAGACTTCCCTTTCCCCAGCCACTTTGGTAATCTCCTCCGAAGGATTCCAAAGGAGTTCCCTGGCCAGCCATGAGACATAGTCTCTCCAGCTTGTCCTGGGTCTTCCTTTAGGCCTTCTCACGGTTGGACGTGCCCATGAAACCTCACCAGGGAGGCATCCAGGAGGCATCCTAACTAGATGCCCGAGCCACCTCAACTGGCTCCACTCGACGTGGAAGAGCATTGGGTCTACTCCAAGCCCCTCCTGAATGACAGAGCTTCTATCACTAAGGGAGAGCCCAGACACCCTGCGGAGAAAACTCATTTCGGCCACTTGTATCTGTGATCTCCTTCTTTCGGTCACTATCCAAAGCTCATGATCATAGGTGAGGGTAGGAATGTAGATCGACCGGTAAATCGAGAGCTTTGCCTTCTGGCTCAGCTCTCTCTTCATCACAACGCCTGCATCACTGTGGACGCAGCAACAATCCATCTATCGATCTCACGCTCCATCTTTCCCTCACTCATGAACAAGACTCCGAGATACTTAAACTCCTCCACTTGGGGCAAGACCTTATTCCTAACCCAGATAAGGCTCAGGACCATGACTCAGGACCACGGTCTCGGATTTAGAGGTGCTGATTCTCATCCCAGCTGAAATTTTTTTAGAAATTTGTCATTTCTAAACACCCAACACCAAAAGATGTGATGAAACGCCCCCCACACACTCACACACAACGCTTTAATTTAACATGATTCTTGTTCTCTTACAGAGTGCTGTAAAAAACAACGCTTCTTTTGGTCACTGAATGCTACTTTTGTTACATGGCCTCTCTCACTATCCCACGAATGGATTCAAATCTGACTTACTTTGGCAGAGTAAAACTTTTAATGTCATGTCTGTTTTATGTTATTTTATCGCTCACCAATGACGTCTCTCACTGCCTAAACTGTCTCGATATGCTGATGTCTTTGCAAAGTCTTGAAATGACATATTTTGGATGGAAACACAATGGCTGAGAGGACAGAGCCATCTTTTTTCTCCCTGTCAACTTTCGCCCTTCCAGAAATTTCCCACGATTCCTTTAGTGGAAACATTGCTATTGAAGATGTTGGTCCCTTTTGTACCAACTATTTCTCATACAATTTCCTCTTTAGAGACTTTTTTTCTCTAGCTAGGGAGGATTGGCAGTTTCAGAGCTGCCAAACACATGGGTCCCTGAATGTTGTCACACACCATGTTTGGTCATGCATGTTTTAAACCCAGCTCCCTACGAGCAGACCAAAATCTGGAATCCGGACCATAGCTGATGTCATGTACACACATATACAGTACAGTAGGTTGGGCGAGCGTGGATACCTTTCAGACTGGACTCCATTTTTCAGAACTCCGGTGTAGCTCCTCCTCCTTTCCAGTGGCAGAACATCAACAAAACCCCCGTCTGCTTTAATCACCCCCGCATGTACGGCTGCTTTACAGATGCTGGAGATCTGCGAAGACAACACCAGATGGTTTTTTTTTTTGCGCATTTAAAAAACAACACTGAAAACTACTGCTATCCACTACCAAATAAATCATAACTCACCAACGTAGTGACGCTTAACTTTTACACGCACGCACGCTGACAGACACACACCAACAGAGAAGCTCGTGCCAGAATTCTGGTTCCAACATAACAAACCTTAAGCTCTTATCAACAGAGCAGAATCAGTCATTTCCAATCCAAACATGGATCACGCCAGGCACTCCAGCGATTCTTACCAGACGTTTTACATCTGATGTTTGACCAACATTAGCCTCTGCACCACTCTGGAAATAAATGTGGGTGCCTGGACTGTAAATCACTCCTCGGCACTTTTGTTAGGAGTCAGTGGGCCTTCTTTGGAGTGTCTTTGACGTGCTCGTTCCTCCCCAAAAGGACGTCATTGACTCCGAGTGGCAATTTTACCCAAGATACTGTACGACTCAACTAACCTCACTATGACCTTGTGTGGCTGTAACTTTCTGATGTTTATAAACTTCAGGATTAAGATATTATAAGATTAGTCCCAGGAGGACTTCCTCTGACTAATCTGTTATGATTATGATGTATTGTGACTTCAGTGTGTTAATTTAAAGCAGTTGTCTTTTCTAAAAAAAAAAATTTTTTAAACGAGCAATCTGGGATACTGATTGGTTGCGCATCTGAGTGCTCAGAGTGACGTGTTTCTTTTTTTATTTTTTGCTGTTGCTCTCACTGTTTACAAAATGTCTTCACATGAGGATTAAACTGGTTTCTACACTTTATTCTGTCCCAGCACGTTTTCTTCTGTTAATGCTTAGAGTCATAATAAATACAGCCTTTAAAAAAGATTATGACTCAGTCGGTCATTCCCAGATAGTAAAACTAGTTAAAGACTAAATAAATTGTAGAGACTGAACTCAGCTGACTCACATTTCACAAGTAAGAACAAAAACATTTTGGATGTGGTTTATAAATACTCACATCTGCGTAGATGTTGTTCCCGATTACAGGTGACCAGTAAGAAGGCTGAGACTTACAGTTGGCTGGACAGGAAACTCTGAAAATGTAGAAAAAGTCCTAATTTATTATTTAACCATTATCATTTTTATACGTTATGCTACTTAGAAAGCATTTGGAAGCAAAAGTGGGTGAGCAAATTAGAAGATTTAACGAAATGAAAGTCTGAATAACAGGTGCCTAACAAAGTGAGTACATTATGACCCAAAATATACACTTCAGTACGCGTTATCAGATGTGTAAAGGCACCTCGGACAGTGTGAGTAGGGTCTTTTGAAGGGACAGATTTCAGCCACGGTGGTGTAGCAGTCTGCAGTGAGTTCTGTCACACACAGAGAGAAAGGATAATCATAAAATACTGAGCTGATGTTTGTGACCTGAAAATATGAATTTAAAGGTCGACTTTACAAATATTTTATATATTTGCAGTGGTCTCTAGTAGGAAAGAATGCTTTTGAAGTTGTTCTCTGGGGGGGGGGAAGCTCCGGTGTGCCTGTTTGAGGATGGAGACTTCAGCCAGAGGAGAAAGACGGTGGGATCTGGAGTCTTATTTCCTTGCCTCTGATTGGATAACAGCAATGCAACTCCACCACTGACTTGCAACATTGATGTTTTATCTCCACAAATAACACAGATGGTGGAGTTGCTAATGCTAACGGTTAGTTTGTACTAGCCGAGACTTTCTCTGCTGTTTCCTGGACGCTAAAACAACAACAGTCTTCCCCGTCATGAGTCATAATGGGTGAGTCAATGAATGTTTTGCAACAGTGTGCTGTAGATCTGTCAGGATTTTGAAATCTAAGCATTTCAATGTCTGTTTTCTGTCACAAGCGAATGCAGGAGATAGGTGTAGGAGACTATTTTAATGGTCAGCCTGCATGAAAAACTCTGATTATAATCAGAAATTATCATTAAAAATGGTTTTTCAGTGAAGTTGACTTTTAAAGGCAAGAAACACAGAAAAAATGTTTTCAAAACTTACTCTGAGTTTTTCATGCAGGCTGAACATGAAAAAAGTCTCCGACACCTATCTCCTGCATTAGCTTCTGATAGAAATAGACGGCGAAACTCTACGATTAGAAAAGCCTGACTGATCTATGTCACACTGTCATTTAACATTCATGGACTCACCCATTTTGACTCGCGACGAGGAAGGCTGTTGTTGGTTTAGCTTCCAGAAATCAGCAGAGAGCGTCCCGACTAGTCAAAGCTAACCGTTAGCATTAGCAATTTTTTTTCCAAATGTATTTAATTCAAAGTGTAATATAAAAACAAACAAAACATAATCAACACCAAACAATATGAACGACATCATCACCACGTGGCAGAACTCCTTCTAACTTGTGTTATTTGTGTAGATAAAACATCAAAGTTGCAAGTCAGCGGTAGAGTCATGTTGCTGTTTTCCAATCGGGGAGAGATGTCCAAATATCAGGAAATGAAGCTCAGTTGTGATGTGGCTCACTTCTGTAGTCGGCGGTAGCTCAGGAGGTAGAGCGGGTTGCAGTCGGAAAGTTGTAGGTTCTATACCAACTTTGACCAGAGAATGCTGCTGTTGTGTCCTTGGGCAAGACACTTAACCCACCTTGCCTGCTGGTGGTGGTTGGAGGGAACAGTGGCGCCTGTGTTCGGCAGGCATTTTCTCTGTCAGTTAGTCCCAGGACAGCTGTGACTTCATCGTAGCTCATCACCACCAGCGTGTGAATGTGTGAATGTCTGATTGTGTTGTGAAGCGCTTTGGGGGGTTGTAGAACCCTAAGAAGGCACTATACAAATACAGGCTATTAATCCTTTACCATTCTAGTTCCTGGAAATGGTTCACCTGTGTTTACACCCCCCACCCTACCCCACTGAGTACGACCTAAAAGGCATTCATTCCCACTAGAGACCACTGCAAATGTATTGATTAAAAGAGTGTTCCAGGCCTTTAAATAAATACAGTAATTTGCTTACCTTCAACTTTAGCCACCACAAAAGAATTTCCAGATTTATATTTACTGCAAAGACACAGGAATGTTTTGGAGTCAGGAAAATAAACCGCTACCTAGAATACATCTCGTCTGGTATGAAACTGGAAATGAGCTTGGGCACATTTTAGGAACTTAATTGGAGCAAAATGGAAATGTTTTCTGTTGTGGTCATGCCTTTTAACAAAATGAGATTGACTATTTAAAACAAATATCTAAAATAAAGTCAAATAAATTTGTGCGTCCGAAAATTGGTTAGTTCTGCTAATCCATGGGTTTTGTTTGCTGTTTAAGTGTAAGACAAGGAAAATGATATCAGTATGATAAAAATTTTTCTTTTCCCTCTTGACTTTCCATCCCTTCCCTCGTTAAACAGTGCATCATGCATGCTGCAGCCGTAACTCTGATAAATGCTTAAACCTATTGATCTAATCTCATTCAGCTCAAAACATTAAATTCTGTATGAACACATGAAAAGTCCACTGGTTTTACTCTCACATTCTGATTGCACATTTATCCTGTTTTTTCCCCAACAAGGACTATTTACCTGAGAGACTCAACACCATTTTTTGTGGATCTGACAAAAAACGGAGACTTGTCTGTCCTTGTGACGTCGACCAGCCCCCCACCATTGCCGATGACCCCAGCGTGGATGGCAGCTCGGCAAATACTGGATTGCTGCAAAAGCAATGAGTGAAAAAAATGCATTAATCCTTTAAAAAGTTGCATGATGATGGGTTTGTTTTTCCTGTTGAGGAGACTCACTGCATCGTAAGTGCCGGTTCCCCAAACTTGGCCTTTCTTATGCAGACAAAAGGCAGGACATTTATGTCTGCAGAAAAAGGAATGGAGTTCATTTTAAAGGAAATGTGTGCTAAATGAAACCATTTTGCACATAAGCTCATGACACCAGCCTGACCTGTTGCAGGTTACCCCTTTGCATTTATCCCGCAGTTTAGTCTCACACTTAATGTTGTGAGCTGCAAAGAATAGAGATTCATTAATCTGAAAAAAGGAAGAATTTTGTTTAAGTTTTGATTTCTCTGCTTGTACCAAGGTAGGGGTTGCTTTGACTTTTTGGAGATGTTGTCCTTGGCGATGCAGGTTTTGGAGTGAACGGCTTGGACGCAGGTTTTTTGGGAAGCTTGGGAACAGGTTTGGAGGTGGTTCGAGGAGACAGTGGTACCTGCGGCTTCTCCACTTCGTTCATGTCCTCCGTCTCTGAGCGCTGAGAGTCTGTTAACAGACACACTTGTAAGATTAGGGCTGCTAAAGAGAGAATGTTCTGATGTTTAAATATGCTGTCTCACCTTTGTAGCACAGGTTATTTCTGCATCCTCCTCCATAGCTGGGAGGACACTGAGAACACGGTCGGCCATGTTGATACGGGGCCTCTCCGATCCAGTTGCCCCTGCACAGATGGTAAACAAAGGCCAACTTGACAAAAATTATCACAGCCTTCTAATAACTGCACCACACTTTAGCCCCATTCATCACTCTAATGGCAGCGATAAGTCTTAAAGAAGAACACATCTGTGAGCTTTGTTAGAAAGAGAAACAAGGAGAAACCCGTGGCGAACAGCAGAACTGAGGAGATCACTGATCTTAATTCAATTCAATTCAATTCAGTTTTATATATATAAGCGCCAAATCACGACAAGATTCATCTCAAGGCACTTCACCTAATAAACATTCCAATTCAGGTCAGTTCATTAAGCCAATCAGACAAAATGTTTCCTATACAAGGAACCCAGCAAATTGCATCAAGTCACTGACTAGTGTCAGTGACTTTACAGCAATCCTCATACTAAGCAAGCATATAGCGACAGTGGAGAGGAAAACTCCATTGTAACAGGAAGAAACCTCCAGAGGATCCTGGCTCAGTATAAGCAGCTATCCACCACGACTCACTGGGGATCGAGAAGACAGAGCACACACACACTCTCACACACACACACACACACACACACACCAAGCAATGTGTCCATGGTTACACCGTGATTGCTTGGTAAGTATGCTATTTGGCGAGAGATAAACTTTATTGTATTTATCCTAGTGAATCTATTGTTAAACGGGTAAACTAGTAGTAGCACATCCAACGTCAAGGAAACAAAAAGTTATCAGGAGAGGGAGAATGTTTAAGTGGTTAGCAGCAGTGTGCTAGATGATGGCCCCCTCCATGAGGCCACCACAGCTCAGCAGAACATCATTGTAGCTTCTTCTGGGGAGAAAAACACTTAGAGAAAAAAATAAAGTTAATAGCTGAAATAGCAGGAAATAATACAGTTAAAGAGCAGATTGTAGAAGAAAGTAGTAGAGTGTGAAAAGTGGTCAGTGTATCATCCAGCAGTCTAAGCCTATAGCAGCATAACTACAGAGATAACTCTGGATAATCTATCCTATTTAGATGGAGGCATGTTGGAGGCAGGGCAAGGGAGAGCCGTCTTTACCGACTGTACACTCCACCTCCCTGTACTCCCCCACTTGTCCAGATCTAGGCTAACGTCAGATTTTAACCATAAGCCCTATCAAATAAAAATGTCTTGAGCCTAGTCTTAAAAGTAGACAAGGTGTCTGCCTCACGGACTAAGACTGGGAGCTGGTTCCACAGGAGAGGAGCCTGATAACTAAAAGATCTGCCTCCCATCCTAATTTTAGATATTCTGGGAACCACCAGTAAACCTGCAGTCTGAGAGCGAAGTGCTCGGTTAGGAACGTATGGAACAATCAGATCACTGATGTATGATGGACCTTGATTATTAAGAGCTTTATATGTGAGAAGAAGGATCTTAAAATCTATTCTGAATTTAACAGATAGCCAATGTAGGGAAGCTAAGACAGGAGAGATATGATCTCTCTTTTTAATTCTCATCAGAACTCTAGCTGCAGCATTTTGTACAAGCTTAAGACGTTTAACTGCATCTGTGGACTTCCTGAGAGTAATGAATTACAGTAATCCAGTCTTGATGTAATAAATGCATGAGCTAGTTTTTCAGCATCACTCCTGGAAAGGATGCTTCTAATCTTAGCAATATTCCGAAGGTGGAAAAAGGAAATCCTACAATCCTGATTAACCTGGGATTTGAATGACATGTCCTGGTCAAAGATAACACCAAGGTTCCTTACTTTGTTCTCGGAGACTAATTTAATGCCATTCAGGTCAGGTGATTGACTAAGCAATTTCCTTTTCTGGATTTCTGGTCCAAAGATGAGAACTTCCGTCTTGTCTTGATTTAAAAGCAAAAAGTTTAGAGTCATCCAATTTTATATGTCCTCAAGACAAGCCTTTAATCTACCCAACCGATTAGGTTCATCAGGGTTAATGGATAAATATAACTGAGTATCGTCAGCATAACAGTGGAAGTTTATCCCATGTTGTCTAATGATTTTACCAATTGGGAGCATATATATATAGTAAAAAAAAATTGGTCCAAGCACTGAACCCTGTGGTACTCCACAAGTAACCCTGGAGTATGAAGATTTGTCATGTACATTTACAAAATGAAATCTGTCAGACAGGTAGGATTTAAACCAGCCTAGCGCAGTTCCTTTGATCCCTACAACATGTTCGTCTTTCTAAAAGAACATTGTGATCAACTGTGTCAAAGGCAGCACTGAGATCTAACAAGACTAGAACAGACACAAGATTCTTATCTGAGGCCATGAGAATATCATTTGTAACTCTCACTAATGCAGTTTCAGTGCTGTGATACTCTCTAAATCCAGACTGAAATTCCTCAAACAGCATTAGTGTTTAAATGCTCACATACTTGGATGGCCACTATGTTCTCCAGGACTTTGGATAAAAATGGAAGGTTAGATATTGGTCTATAATTCATTGGGTCATCTGGATCCAGAGAAGGCTTCTTAAGTGAAGGTTTGATTACAAAAAATCTTACTTTGGGGAATAGTTGCACACAAGGTAAACAGCGTTCTCCCAGATTTCTCCCCACACGTTCATCTGTGGACACGTGTGCACAGCACAGCCCACTCGGTTGGTTGTAGCCCAGACAAGCTGTAAAAATGAGGCAAAAGAGACAAAGATCGCACTTTGGATTTCAGGATGAAAAACGAGAACTAAACTCTGCCATGTAAGTTTCTCCACAGTCAGGAAATTAACAACAGGTAGTTTTTTAACTTTAAGCTGCAGCTTTAACATTCATCTCAGTGACTATTGAGTTAAAAACTTGATATTTGACAACACTCTGCAGCCCACTGCTGACCAAAAACCATGCTAGATAGTTTTGTGTAGCAAGTAGGTGTCCTAGGGGGCGCTCTTTACCTGCTTTACAGCTGTTAGTTGTAATTCTAGCAGAAAGCTTTTTCTGTTTGCCAATCGTCAATAAAAAGAACAAGAAGATGAAAAAGAAGTTTGCTTTTTCTGTTGGAGTCATGGTGGAGCCTGGAAGTAGCTTCATCACTAACGTCTTTGATGATGAAGCAAATAGCTAAAAACAAAGTGAACATTGGTGTGGCCTACGCTCATTTGAGGGAGCTAAAGGAGGCTACAAAATCAGACTGATGGTGACCTGGCTTTGTTGCTACTGGACTTGTAAGTAACAGTGTAGATCTTTTTTACTTTGTGGTTTATTTTAGTATTAGTTGGCTCATGTTCGTGTTAGCTCGTTGTTAGTGCTAACTACGGCAGGCTGCAGCATGGTTGTTTACAACGGTTGTAATTCCACATTCAACCAGTAGGGCAGAGGAGCAGGAAACTGCCCAGTGTTACTTTATTGCAGGGGAAACAATAAGATTGGTAGGGACTTCTAACAGCCTTTCTTTGTTTTATTTCTGCTTTTCCTGTAATCAGGATTTGGTTCCATGAACCCTGTTTTCTACAAATTGTAAGTTTTATGGCAAACATGGAAGAAAAGAAAGCCCTGCCATTAAAAAAAATCAACGACCGACTCAGGTACGAAACTAGTCAACATTATGAATGAAGCTTTTGCAGTGAAGTTATAGGCAAATGATGTAACGTTTAACGGGAAAAGTCAATGTACCATATTCCAAAACCTTCCTAGTTAACATGTGTTCCCCCTCCACAGGAATGTTCATCGTTTCCTTGTATGCTTAGGGGCCTCTGGAAGAGGTGAGTCAGCACAATGACTGACGTGTGCTGGTAATCCGGCACGATGCCATCGAAGATGCCAATGGAGCGTGACTGGCCCGACTGCAGACACGTCAACAAATACGAGACAGAGACATGGCGGGGATGCTCAGACTTGGCACTGCCGACCCCCCATCAGCATCTTTAAAGGACCACAGGTCGAGCAGTACAGGATGTCTGACTGCCATCTGACTGCCAGATGAAAGCGATCTGGTTTCAGGGTGTGGGCAAAGAGTGGCTGTTTCTATAAATGCATTCCAGCAGCTGCAGAGCAAAGTCTTAAGAAAATGCAAACTTCTTGTTTCAGGATTAAATTTATATTTTTTTCACACATTTTTTGTTTTTCAATATTTGCTCTAGATAGATGCAGGAGATATGTGTTCTGTTGTCTCACCTGGGTATAGTGTGTACACATGGGCCCGGAGCAGCGGTCTGGGCACCACGGATTGCACTCGTGAGCGTAGGGATAGGTGTAATCTTTGACTTCATCGTACCAGGCCTGGACATGGAAGGCAGGGGAGCGGTATCTGTGGAAGGAAGTGCATTCACACACACACACACACACACACACACAAAGACACAAACAGTAGGCTCAGTCACGGCCATCCAGCTACCAGTGGTAGGAGGGAAATATCTAAGGAAGCTGCCAGGTACCTTGGCTGGACCTGAGAAACTCAGAACGACCCCCCCCCCCCCCACCACCACCACCACCACCACCACCACAACCACCCCCCCACCCCACCCCACCACCACACACACACACCTCCGGTCTTCAAATGGTGTCTTAGTTCGACCTGGCACTGCAGGCTGTTCCCACATAACAGGGGAAATCAAATCAAATAAAAAAAAATTTGGACAAATGAAATCTAAACATGGCTTAACAGCCTCCTAATAAATCAGCTCGAGCTCCTAGTATAAACATCTCTTTTTACAGTACTGAAAAGTGCTGAGCTAATAAATGGAGAGGAAGAGTGGAGCGGGGGCAAAAATGTGACTCAACACCAGAGTTTTCTGGCAGAGAGAGGAATGAGAAAAAAGAGGGAGCACTGAGAGGGAAATGGGACTGGGAGCTGATTCCTGGAAAAGCACCTGCTGCAAAGGCCATCTGGTATTAAACACAGAGTCCAGTTGTGTCTGTCCTCCTGGGAACACACTTCCTCACCATCATGCAGCTCTTTACTTTCCTCTACAGATTCTGGATGGGATTCAGGAATGGGCCAATTGTTAACTGTCTGATATTTCATGGTCACTTTGGTTTACACTTGGGTCATATCACCAACTCTATCTATGAGCAAAGAAAACTCTTTACAATCTAAATGTGACCTTTGTGCAAATGATAATAACACAGAGAGCATTCTGATGGATTTAGCAAATCCTGACTTGTTATGATTTAAAATCCATGTTTACACTGATAAGAGTCAGACTGACACACACACACACACCCAAACATCAAGACAGACATCGCATTTTGGCTAAACTCAGCAAAAAAAACTCACTTGGATGAAGATTAAAGTGTTTGCCCATCAACTCTTTATTCAGATGGGAGAAATAACAGATGTTTAGACCCAAAAATATAAAACTAAAGATATGTAAACACTGGTTTTTCTGTTGCATAATTCTAGTCTTTTTTTATATAACTATAGACACATTACTAGTCTTTGTGAGTGTGCGTGCATGTGTGTGCGTGCGTGTGTGTGTGTGTGTGTGTGTGTGCGTGCGTGCGTGTGTGTGTGTGTCTGCTCTGTCTTCTCGATCCCCAGTGAGTCGTGGAGGATGGCTGCTTATACTGAGCCAGGATTCTCTGGAGGTTTCGTCCTGTTAAAAGGGAGTTTTCCTCTCCACTGTCGCTTTATGCTTGCTTAGTATGAGGATTGCTGTAAAGTCACTGACACTAGTCAGTGACTTGATGCAATTTGCTGGGTTCCTTATATAGGAAAAATTATTTCTGATTGGCCTAATGAACTGTCCTGAATTGGAATGTTTATTATGTGAAGTGCCTTGAGACGACTCTTGTCGTGATTTGGCGCTATATAAATAAACTTGAATTGAATTGAATTGAATTGAATTTTTATTTTATTTAATATGTATTTGGCCAGGGAAAAAATCCAACTGAGATCAAAAGAATCTTTTTCAAGGGAGCCCTGGTCAATAATTTTCTGTTAAAGGGAGAACAGGCACTTTGGGCTTACTTTTAGCACCCCCTAGTGTCCGTTTGTAGAACCAAGAGCAAAACTTATCTCCTCGCTGTGCGTTTTAACACCTTAATCTAACAGCTGGAATGTCTCCCCAGCCTTCATTGGTGTCTACAGGAGTGGTTCATCACTAAATTAAACAAATCAGCTGTGTTCATCATCTAAAACATGCAGGACGTGTGCTGGAACAAGAATGTAGCCCAACAGAACAGACCAGCAACTCTGAAGTTGCAAATGGAACATTCTGGCCACAGGGGGCGATAGAGGCTGGGTGGGCTTTCGCTAACCCTGTAAAGAGTCATTTTAGCACATATTGGCTCAAGAAAATGATTTAAATATATGAAAAAGTTGTGTAGTTTCTCAATAACATCTGAGATGAATCTTCAGTTTATCATTAGAGCACCAATTGGCAAAATTAATTCCTGCCTCACCGCATCAGAATATTTTAGGAGAAATCAGCAGAAAGATCATTTTGGGGGTTAAATTGAACCTTCTATCATGGTAAATAATCATAACAGGTAAGCAAAGTTTAAATTAGAATTATAAAGGAAAGCAACATCAGCAACTCGTGGCACTATTGTCAAAGTCCAGATGACAATCCAATCATACGTCTACGGAGGGAATCACAAAGACTTGACCAAACCCAAAAAATAAATATGGGTTTCAGACCCAAAACCTGAGAAATCTCTGAGGAAGTGTCTCAGTGTGAACATTAATGATGACTCTGTTTACAAGAACTGGTTTAGTTTCTGGAAAAGACACAAAAATCTAATCAAATAGGCATTAAATTCCTTTCTAGCAGATAATTTAGACATTAGCTTTGAGTTCTGAATATGTAAAATGCTACCAGTGGTACGGGGTACCTTTTTTTTTCAATGTTCTGTTGCTATTACATTTTAAAATCAGTTATATTTCTCAAACAAAATAAAAAAGTGTTGCTGAATCTCACCTTCCCCAGTGAACCGCCAAGTTTTGTCCAATGGACATGAGCAGGTCCTGAGGCCCATGGTCCCACTGACACACCTCTGCCCACTGGGTCGCAGACCGCTCCAACTCATCATCCCATATCTACACACACACACACACACACACACACACACACACACACATACACACAAGATAAGACATATTTCTGGCAATCTGTTGCAGAAAACTAGTTCTCTTCAGTGTTCGATGGAGTCCACACAAAGTTCTGACTCAGTAACTTATTAACCTCAAGCTGTCTGAGGCCTCTCCTCCTACACTTCCTTCCAAGCTAATAAGCTGAAACCAGCAAAGTCCAGTTTCAACATCAACCTTCAAAAGATGACATCCGAGTTGGGCTTGCTGGCATCTGGCTCGGGCCCACTACAAATCTACAGCAATCACAGCTGAATAATTCACGTTTCCTGAGTGGGGTTCTTTGCTACAACGGAGAGGAGGGAGGGAGATCAGAGAAGACACCTGACTCCTTCAGAGAAGGGGAGCGAGGACTCCTTGCAGAGTGGCCTCCCCAGTAAATTTCCAACCTTATGGTGGTGACTCCAACACGCACACACAGACACCACTGTAACCCCAAACACCAGTGTACTAACACTAACACACACTCTGCCTGTTCTCTGGAATATGAGAGAGCAGAGTAAATCCACAGAGACTTTGCTCTGCGCTGTAACCACAGTCCACAGACTCGTAGGCTGCTGCTGCTTCTCCTCATGGAACACGAGGTCCTGAGTGATCTTCTGTGTGTATCAACAATAATCCCTCTCCTCCTGCAGCCAGAAATCTTCCACGGGGGTCTTTCGTTTTCCCCCACCAGCCCCTCACTCTCCCGTATTCTCCAGAGCGGAGCTGTTTGCAGGCACAGGACAGAGTCAGCATTATTACTCCGCCTGTAAAAAGACTGGCGCACAGCGGGCTGGCAGCAGCTCAGCCTTCATTACTGCATGTTTCCAACAGAGAGAAAAGATTGTTTTTATACCATCTCCCCTTTTCTGGGTTAAATAGAACTTTAAAGCCCTAATTACATGCCTTGATTCCCCGCTCAGTCATGCTGACGCAGAACACGTTTGATCCGTGTTGATTTAAAGTGGTGATGATGAATTATAATGCAACACGCCTCACCATGTGCTCCATGTTTGAGGCAGTGGGGTAAACGCTGCCTCTCAGCTTGTTGTGCAGCTGGAGGATCTCGTCTCTGTCTGACCAGAGAATGGCCCGCCGGGTCCTGTTCCCAGCCGGGTTCAGGCCAGCTTCCTGCTCATAGCGGATCAGCAGCTCCCTCAGTTCCTTGGAGTCGGGCAGGAAGAGTGAAGAAGTGTGGATGACACACAACAGGAGGAGGAGGGAGGGGGTGAGGGGCCAAGCCACAGCAGAGCGGGTCATTCTGACACTTTAGGTCCGTCTGGGTTCTCCTCAGAGTCCAAACAACCTGGAGAGGAGAAATTCAACAATAGACATTTATAAACACGCAAAGTTAAATGTGCTAGATTAAACTGAGCATGGCAGGTAGGTATTCTTTATTAAGCAAAACTGACTCCATACTGAAGCAGAGTGTGTTTACTCAGCCAGGAACTCGTTACTTCCTACCGGTCTGCTTCGGGGCAGATAAACCACCTTATGACTGCGTATTAATAGGATCTGATGCAATTCACTACAACTCCCCTGTAACAAGTTCTTCAGTTTGTTTTCTTTTTTTTTTTTTTCAGTGTGAAGAAGCCATTAATGAAAACTCAACATTTAAGTCTCAAATAATCAATGAGTCCTGGAACTGTCCAGAGATCACCTTTAAGGAGACTCCAGGTACCAGATTATGTGGTGGCAGAGATTAGTGGTCAACTGTTAAAGGGTTGCTATGCAACGTTTTGTATATTTTTAAATCCTTTTCTTGAGCCAGTATTAGCTAAAATGATCCTTTACGAGTTAACGGAATGTCACTCAGACCCCTACCGCCCCCTGTGGCCGGAATTCCACACTTGCAACTTCAGAGTTGGCAGGCCCACTACCTGTTGGTGGAGGAAGCTCTGTTGACACTTGCTAAAGTGTGATTGGCCGTTGCTGCCACCTGTGCACTTGACAGTTCTGCATTGCTGGCACTGCATAAAAGAGCATCTAGGCTGTAGTTACATGCATATTTTTTGTGTTCTTACTGTAAAGATTCCCCCCAGTCCTCATGCCGGTTTTGTCCCCCCCACTTCTAAAGTCAAAACTACATCCATGAGTGGAGTTGACACGGTGGAGCTGGAGGCTGCTTCTAGCAAGTTCCCTGCATGTTTTAGATTGTGAACACAGCTGATTTGTTGGAGTTGTGATAAACCGCTCCTGTAGAAACTAACGAAAGCTGAGGAGACATCTCAACAGTTAGATTAAGGTGTTAAAAATACGAACTCTAAAAGTTGCTAAAAGCAAGCAAAACTGCCTAGTATCCCTTTAAAGGTGGGGTTCGTTCATTTAATCAATACATCTGCGATGGTCTCTAGAAGAAATAAATGCCTTGTACGCAGGGGGAATTGGAGGGGGGGGGAGGGGGGGGTTGTATACCGATGCACCATTTCTAGGAACTAGCAGATATCCACATCATAGCTGAGCTTCAGACGGCAGGATTTAGACTCTTATTTCCTGATATTTGGACATCTCAGCTTGGATTGGTTAACAGCAACACAATTCTACCACTCTCTCACCACAAATAACACAAGCCTCAACCCCAAGGGGTCAGAAATGCATGAAAGAAATCTCTTGCAACCATTTTTACTTCCTTTTACTGAGAGAGTGGTGCATAAATCAAAAGATTTCAGCAGCATGTTGTGCAATATTTAATTATTTAGGTTGACTTTCATTATTTCTTCATGAGCACAACCACAGCTGCACCATATGTGAGCTTCTTGGTAACTTCTGAATTCAAATTATGAGCTGATGCTAAATGAGATTGAGTAATCTGGAAATGTTTCATTCTAAAATGATATTTTACTGTTGCTATAGCAGTGACTGAGTTAGATCTGTTCAATGTGTGCAAACTGTGAAGTGAAAATCTATCAAGCCATGGCAAGCCTGATCTGAGTTCCCCACACTTTCTGTATCTGACTTCCCTTACAAGCAGGACGCTCAAAACCAAAACAAACATCTCAGAGCTTTGTAAAGAGGAGCAGTCAGTCTGTGAGCAGAGATGAACAAAAAATAAATAAAATTAAAAAAAACTTCAACTTGCACTGGTTGCTCTCATCCTTGGATCCCTGCAGCCTCTTTCCCTTTGGATGGAAAGGCAGCTCGAGGTCTGGCACCAGTTCTGTGTCAACACGCTGTGCCAGCTCTGGGCACCACACCCTTCTCCTCCCCCTGTCTGTGCCATGTCTTCACACTGAACCTCCACCAGCTCCTCTGTCTGGGCCCTTCTCATGGCTCTCATACATTTTATACCAAAGTGACAGACAGAGAAGGACACTCAGTCAAACAAACATGTCCACATGTCCTCGTTGGGCCTTCTCTGGACTGTTCACTTCAAAATAACAATCCATTCATCTGATGCAACACTCAGTATGTGTTTAATTCCGGATTTGCATATGTCTGTGTCCCTTACAGTATACATACCTCTAGAACCCAAATTTTTCTTTTTTTTTTTTTTTTGTGGTTTTAGTGGTCGTAGGTTACAATACTAGATCACTGCCTATAAACGTACTTTTGTTATTATGTTTCTTCAAATTATTCTCTTAAGTGTTGGTGCTGCTGTAACAAGTGAATTTCCCAACTAGGATCAATAAAGTCTATTCTATTCTATTCTATTCTATTCTATTCTGTTCTATTCTGTTCTAATAAAACATTTTATAGCTCATTTAAATTATAGTTAATAAAAATTATGTTTGTGAACATTTATTTTGTTGTTTACCCTTTCACAATAAAATACACGTGTTCTTCGATAAAATTACATTCTATGTAAATCCTCCTACAGTAAACATTATCTTCTAAAATATTGTTTTTAGGCATTTCCAGTTAGGAGGCTGCAGTGGGGTGCGTCCAAAATTACCCACAACTAAAATGTAACGAGAATATGATTTAAATCGAACATTCAGTCATACTCGTATTTCTCACCTTACTCTCTCTTCAAGCTGCTTGGATTTGATCCCGTGCGCTCTGGAGAGCTGCGTTATTTCCTTATTAGAGGAGCTGCTGCTGCTTTTTGGCGATGTTCCTGAGATCCTTCCCTTTGTGACTCCAGAGGAGCTCTGAGAGCCTTATATAGGCTGTAGAAGGAGACCCCTGCTGTCTCTCTGCGCTCCCCCACCCACCCCAACTACCGCCGCGCCAAGCAGCTTTCTTGTTCTTGGCACAAAGCGCGTCGTGCGCAAACTGATGTCAGGAGGAAACTTTTAAAAGGGATGTGAAACAGCAGGCTGTCAAACGAATCAGCTGCAGGCTTGGAGCTACAGGTCGCCATCTGAATGGCGGCTCAAAATAAAGAAAAACCTCAAGAAAATGCGAGGGGGACGTTGCATTTTTTAAAGAAAAGAGCGGATGGTAAACTAAATAATACTGAAATGCGTTAGGTCATTTAATCTGCCATTTGGTTGCAATTTCTGAAGCCAAATAAACAGTAAATAAGAAATATATCAGCTGAGGAGAGATTGTTTTAGGGATGCAAACGTGTATAAATCTGGGGTGGAGTCAGGAAACGTTTACTTAAATAAATCTGACAATGCATTCTTAGCCTTAAGCTAGTTTATGTATCTCTTTTATTTATTTATGTATTTGGGGAAGGGGGGGGGCAGGTGTAACTGGAGGGTTGCCGGTTGGACCCTGAGCTCTGTCCAAGACGCCTCACCCTCCTTGCCTGATGGTGGTGGTCTTCACAGAATCTGGAAACTAACTCATTAGATAAATGAAAGCAAAAAAATTGTTGGAAACCGAACATTCACCTAATTCTTTTGATTTTCCAGTGCATGAAAGTGTTCCTCACTAAGAGAGGGAGGAAATGACTCCACTAGCACGTTCCTGCTTGGTTCAGCATATCAGATTTCCCTGTTGACTCTGCTAAAGGCTGGATGTGTTCTGACCCAAATAGTTGAAATTTTTCTCTATCTTTGTACTTGATTCCTATTTGAAACAAGACAGATATTTATAATAGCGTGGCCATTCAGGGCGAGTGACAGCAAACTGACTCTTTTCCTCCCATAAGACCTATGAATTCTGGATAAAAATGCACAACTATCAGGAAATCTGGTTCAGCATGCAACAGCTGTCCTTAAATACCATAAAGAGATGCTCTGGAGGGAAGTGATGCTCTGCGAAGATATGAAGTCCCTGTTGTGGCCTTGTGATTTGTGATGTGACCTTGTGTGTCTGTAGCCATCATCCTCTGCTGGCCATGGATAAATGGAAGTGACGCCACCAACACTGGCCAACTCTGATGATGGCTCGAGTCATTAGCCGAAACATGTAAGGTAAAAAACAATTTTTTTTACAAAGCTGTGTTTAAAAAAAAGAACAAAGTAATACTTACCCACAGTGTATCATTCATCCATTCACACCCTGGTGGAGATGAGCTTCAGTAAAGCCACAGCTGCCCTGGGGCTGTGGCACCATGACAGCACAGGCGCCATCAATCCCTCTGAACACCACCCGCATGCAGGGAGGGTTAAGTGTCTTGCCCAAGGACACAACAGCAGCAAGGCCGGATTAACCATACGGGCAACTGGACAATTGCCCAGGGGTCCACAAACTCTAAAGGGCCCAGGCCCAGGGCAGCAGGGCACGAGCAAAATACTGTATCTGTTATCTCCCGCTTTATATTAAACAAACTGTCCACCCGGGCTTTTGCGCTACACAGACGCTTTGCTGCCAATGACTTTGAACGTCAGTTGAGAGCAGTTGAGAGTCCGTCTCATGCAGACTGACCAATGAACAGAAGCCCAACCGCAAATGTAGCGGAGTGCGCGCCGCGCGTTGACCGCCCCAGTGAGGTGGTCACCGAAGGACGAAACAGGTGATGTGCTCCACTCCTCAGCAGCAAAACGCACCAGGCACAAATAAAACACAGAAAGCATAAAAGGATATGAGCCAACATAAATGATTGCATGTTAAATTTGTTTTTGAGGTGAGACACTTTGATAATGTTACTGTGGCCGTTCTCAGGACGCATCTGTCTGGAGCGTGTCAATGAGCAGAGCTCTGCACCTCAGCTCTAAATAATCCCCGGAGAGTCCACATAAATAATGTAATATAACCAGGATTGTTTTGGGGCTAAACAATAGTCCACAGTCCATCTTCCCTAATGTGTGTTGTGGCCCTGTGGATTTTTCTAACTCTACCAGTTACAAATTGTGAAGGTGAACGATCATTTCACAAATGGCAAGAATAAAAAATGAACTAAAAACAACACAAACTCAACAGCGCCTCAGTGCACTGTCACTGATGGCTATTGAATCTCAACTTGTCAGGAATCTGGACTTTGATGATATTGTAAATGAATTCACTAAAAGAAAGGCCAGAAAGCAGTTTTTCTGAAGGAAAGAGAGGAGACCAACAAGAGGAGACAAAAAGAGGAGGAAGAAACCAGGAGTCAAAAGGAGGAAGGAGACAGGAGACAACAGGAGGAAGGAGACAAGAGGAGGAAGGAGACAGGACACAAAAGGAGGAAGGAAACAGGAGACAAGAGGAGGAAGGAGACAGGAGACAAGAGGAGGAAGGAAACAGGAGACAAGAGGAGGAAGGAGACAGAAGACAAGAGGAGACAGGAGACAGGACACAAAAGGAGGAAGGAAACAGGAGACAAGAGAAGGAAGGAGACAGGACACAAAAGGAGGAAGGAGACAGGAGACAGGACACAAAAGGAGGAAGGAAACAGGAGACAAGAGGAGGAAGGAGACAGGAGACAAGAGGAGAAAGGAAACAGGAGACAAGAGGAGGAAGGAGACAGGAGACAAGAGGAGGAAGGAAACAAGAGGAGGAAGGAGACAGGAGACAAGAAGAAGAATGAGACAGAAGACAAGAGGAGGAATGAGACAGAAGACAAGAGGAGGAAGGAGACAGGAGACAAGAGGAAGAAGGAGACAAGAGGAGGAAGGAGACAAGAGGCGGAAGGAGACAGAAGACAAGAGGAGGAAGGAGACAGGAGACAAGAGGAGGAATGAGAAAGGAGACAAGAGGAGGAAGGAAACAGGAGACAAGAGGAAGAATGAGACAGGAGACAAGAAGAGGAAGGAGACAGGAGACAAGAGGAGGAATGAAACAGGAGACAAGAGGAGGAATGAAACAGGAGACAAGAGGAGGAAGGAGACAGGAGACAAGAGGAGTAAGCGATTTTTAATATTGACAATGTTATGAAATGTCTAAAAAGTTCTACTGGGTGACAGTAATGTTGGGGAGGCCGGATGGGGTGGGGGGTGGGGGGGACCCTAAGCACACTGTGCCCAGGGGCCCCTGCAATGATAATCCAGCCCAGAACAGCAGCATTCTCTGGTGGGAGTCGGGATCAAATCTGCAACCTTCCAATCTTCCAATTACTGGACAACCCGCTCTACCTCCTGAGCTACTGCTGCCCAACTCAACTCTGTGGATGTCCGTCAACAGGGCAGTCTACCATACACTGTTGAAGAAGACACAAATACATAATGTTTCTCAACAAAGACTTAAGTGGGATGCTTGAGGACGCTTAGGTCCTTCAATGACTGTAGCAAGATGCTGCACATCTTCTACAAGTCTGTTGTTGAGAGTGTAATCTCTTCAGCCATCGTCTGTTGGGGTAGCAGCATCAGAAGCAGGGACCTGAAAAGGCTCAACAGCCTCATAAAAAGGCTGGTTCTGTTCTGGGGACGACTGTGGAACCACTGGAGGAGATAATGCAAAGAAGAAGTCTCCAGAGAATCAAGAAAATGATGGACAACCTTGAGCATTCTCTTCACAAGACTGTCCAACAACGAAAGAGTGTCTTCAGTCAGAGCTTCTTATTTTGCTGCAACACTGATCGCTACTGGAGATCCTTCCTGCCAACAGCCATTGTAATATACAATAACTCTTTGACGACTTGATTATTCTTATTATTCTGAGCTACTACAGGAATCAGTTTCCCTCTGGGATTAATAAAGGATTTTTGAATTGAATTGAATTTGAAAGTACCTCTATCTGCTCTTGACTCAAAGAAAAACCTACATCTAAATAGTCCAAAGTTCAGCATATTTTAGTTTTACTTTGTTTTATTGGTTTATTTTGCTATGATTGGTTGTAATAATGTGTTTAAAGCGCTCTAGAAATAAAGTGGTATGGTATGGTATGGTATGGAATGGTATGGTATGGTATGGTATGGTTGATGTCAAAGCTGTTTCAAATGAGCCATCGCCATCTTTGTTATTTCACTTGTTCGCAGTAACATCCAGCACACCAAACCAACAGATCTCTGCGAATGGCCCACCAAACTGACAAAGGGCTGCGATTGGCCCACCAAACCAACAGATTCAATTCAAATCAAGTTTATTTATATAGCGCCAAATCACGGCAAGAGTCGTCTCAAGGCACTTCACATAGAAAGCATTCCAATTCAGGTCAGTTCATTAAGCCAATCAGAAAAAAGTTTCCTATATAAGGAACCCAGCAAATTGCATCAAGTCACTGACTGGTGTCAGTGACTTTACAGCAATCCTCATACTAAGCAAGCATTTAGCAACAGTGGAGAGGAAAACTCCCTTTTATCAGGAAGAAACCTCCAGAGGATCCTGGATCAGTATAAGCAGCCATCCTCCACGACTCACTGGGGATCGAGAAGACAGAGCAGACACACGCACACGCACACACACAACATATAAACCAAGTAATGTTTCTATGGTTACATTGTGATTTCTTAGTAAATATTCTATTTGGTGAGAGATAAACATTATTGTATTTATCCTACTGAATCTAAAATTAAATGGGTAAACTAGTAGTAGCATATTCAATGTCAAGGAAAGTAAAACGTTATTATCAGGAGAGGGAGAATGTTTAAGTGTTTAGCAACAGTATTTAAGCCGATGACCCCCTCCATGAGGGCACCACAGCTCAGCAGAACATCATTGTAGCTTCTTTTGTGGAGAAAAACACTTAGAGAAAAAATAAAGTTAACAGCTGAAATAGCAGGAAATAATAGTTAAAGAGCAAACTGTAGTCGAGTGTGGAAAGTGGTAAGTATGTCCTCCAGCAATCTAAGCCTACAGCAGCATAACTACAGAGATAACCCAGCCTTTTAGATGGAGGCATGTTGGAGGCAGGGCAAGGGA